AGGCTTTGCTCAGGTCCAGGTAAATACACACCTGACAATCATACTGTCATGGAAGAAATATAGATCTATGTGAAATTATTAAAATCCCACTGGTTTAAGATATAAAAATAACCAGTTAAGTCAGTCGAGTGATTGCCATGACTCAACATGTAACCACAAGACTTCCATAACACAAACAGCTGCACCAAGGTCACTTATGCCTGAAACTAAAAATGCTGCTTTGCAAACTTTTCAGACATCATATGGTGTGGAACTGAGATATCTGTGACTATATAGCTGCAGTTTCAAAAAGTCCTTGTGGAAAAATAAAAACTGTCCACAGCCATGGAAAAGTCTTACCACCTTTTTATTCACTTAATACCATTGTCTAATATGGAGCTATGATACAAGTGTAGAATTGTGTTAAAGGGGAGCTGTGCTTGCTTCCCAGTTGTGCAGGATCTGACATGAGTTTATCTCAAAGAAGGATGGATTCAGCTGCTGTTTGAATTATAGATCTGTGAAGGCATATCATTGCATTACAGTATCTGGAATCAAACTATATCAGCTTATGTTAATAGGGAACCTAAAATCCCCAGAGTCTGACTGGTAGATATCTAGGGCCCTAAAGATGCAGATGCACTGTAGGCTTAGCATAGTGAAGCTGCGTTTTCCACAAGCATTCAAAATGAACTAAAAATTCATTCACAATGACTATTCATTATCTAACCAAGCCTATTTCAATGATAAAGCAAAGTTATTTAACATAAGGGTGTGATTGTGTGTGTATTCCAGAACTGGCATCTGCACGATTGCCTGAACTGATGAGTGGTAGGTAAGACATGAAGCCAGTGGGTCTGATCACATTCCATATCTGCCTTCTGCCTCCCTGTGGTTTGCCAGCACAGTTTCTCATGCACAGGGCTCTGACGTTTTAGCATAAGAACTAAACCGAGTAGGCAGGTCTGTAATTTAAGTGCCAGACAATGCAAGATCTATCCAGATCTTTTTTGATATCATCAGTGACATAAACAGACCTCAGTCTCGATTGCACTAAGGCTTCTTTGTGCCTCTCTGGCTATCCAAAGTCACTGGCACCAGTATCCACAGTCTCCTACCTCCCATGAAGGTGTGACACATGGGAATACTGATAGAAGCAGCCCTCAGTGTTAATGTCAGTGGGCTCAGAGGGAGGACTGACAGTGAGGTATTTAACTCAAAGTTTCTATTAGAGGACCGGGGAGACAGGTAGCTGAGGGATGAACAGCAACAAAGATTTCCATCTGTGTCTAGGAGGTGTTCCTACTGAAGAGATATTGCTGTAATAATGTTCAAGCGGCAGGAAGGAGCACAATGTAAGGAAACCGGGTAAATTAATGCTTTAATAACACACAAGTAACGGTGTCATACATTTACCCAAATCAATTAAACGAAGAAGGGCATTCTCGTTTCCAGAGCGTTGCTAGGACAGATTAGCCGAGGGTTTCCGCAGCTCCACTCGACCCTATTCCTGAAGCGCTATTGCCCTCTGGCTGCCAGCCCCGGCCCCTGCACGGAGCCCAGCTCCTGCCCAGCCTCGCCCCAGCCCACGAGAAGAAATGTCTGCTCTCAGGGCAGTACACGTTCCCAAGGCTAGAGAAACTACAGCCATTTCTGCTGTCACTCAGTTTTGGTTTGTTTTGTTTTCTGTGTAAAACAATAAACAAATGTGCCCTTTTCTCTGAGAAAGAACTACCATGGGCTGAATACAGATTTAAAATTAACCTGGAGTTCTGTGATATTACCAGGAGAAAAAGCATGACAAAATCTTTATGTCTTTTATAACTCATTCCCCCTGAATTGATAAAAAAGCATTCACAGGATTAACAAGAATAACACTTTTTTTTTTTTCCACTTTACCTGACCACACAGATATATCCTTTTACTTCAAACTCTGACAAGCTTAAGGAATAAAATATTCTCCATACAAATTCAGTGTCTAAGGAGCAAAGAAAATTCTTCTCTGATTTGGGCAGGGATTGCACTCTTCTTTAATTCTGTATACAAAATTTGGGCCCTGTAATCATTGACGTTAGTATAAAAAGCTTATTTCAAGTTTGCAAAATCAAATGCAGTCATCTAAGGGGCTTCTCCCTGCCTGGGGGATACACGTGCCCCTCAATCTCCTTCAATTAAGAGCCCTGCCCAGCAAAAAAAGATAAATAGAGAATTCAAAAGCACTGCCGAAGTACCATGAATGAGGATGATGAAAGTTCTTCTTCCTTTTGCAGGAAGGACCCCACAGAGAACATCCTTCCACAGCAAAAATTCATTCACTGATTTTCCTCCAAATCCTTCTTCAGATCAACTTATACAGGGTGCATCAGCAGTGAAGCCTAGCACAGAGTGCAACAAGGCTGGCACTGAATGTTAAGGTGCAGCAGCAGCTTTCCCTGTTCTAGCACAATAAAAATAGGCTGAGAAATTCAGTACAGCCAGCAGAATTGCCATTTCTTTTCTCCCTCCTTGATAAACCTCTATCTTCTCTTCCCTGTGGCTTCTCTGTCCTTCTCTGGAAAATCTATGTAAAACTCTGCTCCTAACTGCATTAAGTAGATAAATATGTGATGAATATTGCTGGTAAATATTTCTGAACTAGATGCTTAAAGCAATGTTTCCTTCTTTTCTCCTCAGAGGTGGTGGGGAAGAAAGATGAAAAGGTTAAAGTAAAAATCCAGATCTGAGGACTGTTGGAATAACAACAGCTCAGAGAGAATTGGAAGGGACAATGACAGTCTGCTCTAAACCAAAACAGATTTCATCAGAAGGAGGAAGGCCCTCCTAGGTCAAGAAGTTTCTGTCAGTCAGCTCAGCACTGCAGTATTTGTAAGGGTTTTTTTCTCAGGCTACTTTTGATGACATGACTTTGGCAAAGTCCTAATTCTGACTCTTCCAACAGATTTGGGGGGTTAACTGCTTGTGAACTGTAAGCATCTGTCGTACAGCCCCAACCATCTAATCTTCCTCTTGGAGGTTCTCTCACAACCCATTAGACTTTCTGGAAGAAGTTTCCTCAAAGTGAATGTAAAATCAATAAAAGCATGGTTCCCCTGGCAAATGTCACTGTGGTACTTTTGTTCTGTACCTAGCAACAAAGTTTTATAGTAGCAAACCTCACAATCAATTTTAATGAAATAACCTATGTTCTCAGAGAGAGAGAAGTTCTGGAAGGAAAGCATATTTTTGTCAGAAGTCTTTCATGAGTGTGCAGCCCTTTCAAGTATGAGGGGTTTAATCACTAACAGACTGACCATGAGTCAATCCCATCAATTATTCTCTTGCGCCTGGGCATGAGTTTGGCACAGCTTTGTACTGCACACTTTACAAGAGGGTAAAAATCTTCAGGGAATTTTCATCCTATCCATGTTTCCTTGCTGGTTGTCTGCTATATTTTTTACATTACCAGGGATATGTTAAATGGTTGAAATCCAGGACCGTTGGGCACCTAAATGATGAACTGCACACATAATTGAGGTAGCTTCTCCCTAACAAAGAACTCACTGTACGATGGGGAAATCATCAGGAAACCATATTTAGAGAAATCAGTGTCCAAGTATGCTCATGATTTTATTGTTTGGTGCAAGAGAATTTACCAGCTACCCTTGGTCATTGCTAAGGTTATATGTGCTAAATGGACCTTTTATATTCGTGCTGCTCAGAGCTCAGATGTGACCTGGAAAATGGTTTGTTGAGCATCATTTTTGTGGGAGCCTTAGCAGATTACAGATTTCTATTCCACTTTTCCTTCTTTTGACATACTTGCACCATCAGGGAGCAATCTATTTGTCCACGTACATGTTTATAAATTTCTACTCTTTGCAAGCATGCTGCCTCTCTAGTGAGCTCTGCACTGGTGTGGTAGAGGGCACACAGTGCCTGTGCCCGTTGCTCACCAGTCAAAGTCTGCCTCCGTGCACACGCATGGCTCCGAGGTCATAGCCCCAGCGTACTTCCCCTGCATGCATTTCTTCTCCGACTTCCGCTTCCTGTAGATCCTTTTTGCTCCCATGATGCAAGCTTCTCCCTGGAAACACAAGCAAAAATATCCTTTTCTGACATCCATCAGGTTATTTGAAATCACACAGTTTTTCCAAGCCTGTGCAATGGGAGCTGTGACTCAGGGGAAGAAGATGGGAAGTCAAATGCCATGTCAGTACACTGGAGCTAATTAAAGCTACTGAAGCTTTAAGTGAGACTAAACTAGCTTTTCCAATACACACTAAGAAATTATCTGGGGTTTCTTATGTATCTGATTCAATGCTGAATTTGTTCCAAAGCCAATGAGCAATTGATCGAGGTCCATTTCTCACTTATAGATTAGGTTTCAAAGCAACTGAAAACACAGTCTGATCCCTCTGCAATTTGAGACACAGAGCAGGTCTGTTTCTTTGTTCCGATCTCTTTGGCAATAATTTAATTCAGTAGACATTAGTAATATGTGTATATGTAAATGCTTTCCATGGAAAAGTTCCATGAGTTCAGGTTTTACAGGGTTTGACTTACTGTGTAGGTGCTAAAACTTCCTTGTCTTTTCACTCCTATCTTCACCACCCTGCTAAATATTTTTCTCTAGGGAACCTCAAGGGAAAGCAAATCAAAAGGCAAGGGTCCACAGCAGCCTTCCTAAAAATAGTTCTGCAAGCTCCACAGCCAATGTTCTCAGATATATTGCAAAATACTTGGCATTTTTGCTTATGCAAGCACAAGAAAGTAGAGAACAAAATGCAGTGGGGTCTCACCTGTTACCTTTCATGCTGTTAAAATTGCTGTAGGAAAGAGAAACTTTTCATAGCTTTGATTTGCCCATGAAACATAAGGGTCCAAATAGCAACTGGTTTAAAATGATGTGCCTCCTTGAATTTCAAGGAAGCTGTACTGATTTTCAGTATCTAAAGATCTAAGTCATAACCAGAATTTTCAGTGTGGAATTGTGCCTTGTGTGAGCAACTAGTCTGAGTCAAGCTACTTTCATTCCATATTCATTATTAAATTCTTGCCCAGCAAGATATATACAGAAAGACAGCCTTTGATGATATAAATGGGTGTTTCACTTTAGACTTCAGTGGAGCCTGTAGTGTTTATATAACCATAGAATTTGGGCCATATTTTATTCTAACCTGATCTAACACAAGCTGTTGTGTCAAACTTGGCAGAGCTGGCAAGGTGTTCCAAGGCAGGTGCAGGCACTGTGTGGAGCATGTTACCTTGCTGGGCACTTAAGCAATGGTTCCAGAAGTGCTGCAGTAGCTGCATCCAGGATGCAAGGGATAGGGCATAGGGCCAAATGAACTGGGAAATAAAATGCTCAACTCCCACAGCAGATGTACCACTGCTGAGAGAGACACAAGAAGGGTGAAACCAACTGAGTACGAAGGAATTTGGATAAACAAGTGCAAAAGCAAGTAGAAGGGTCTTAAGACACTGTCTCTGAGTACACAGAAGAATGGAGGGAGAGAAAGCAGGTAAGGACAGGGAAAATGGATGCAAGATACGAGAGTGAAGGAGTTCAGGTCTCTTTCAGTGACAGTGCTTCTGCTGTTTTTGCATTCTACAGCTCTGGATAAGTCTGAGCTAATTGCCTGCACAGAGAATGAAACCCAAAAGGCAGCTGTTCATCCTTCAAGGCCTACAAAGGCTTCCACAAGGCCAACACATCTATGTAACTAAAAGAACAAACCCACCCAGTGAGGGATCAAACTAGCAGGAAAAGACATTGGATCGTGCTGATCTTTAACTGTAGGATCATTAGCTACTTCAGGTCAGATCACAGACTCTTTGTTTCTCACCTGGCTATGGAGTTGCCATGGCCTGTAGTCCTCTTCTGCACACCTCCGATCAAAAATGGATTTGTAGTCTACTTTCACCAGCTGCCATTCTGAGCGGTGGTTGAAATGTCCAAACACTCTACAGAATACAACAGAAAGAGCATAAAGTAAAAGGTAGCACCAGGTGGAGTCTGGTAGTTACAGATGTACAGTCACACACAAATTTCCAACAGAGGTTAATTGCTTTAAGAGTGCCAGTCTTACTGATTTTCATTTGGCTGACAGAGTGAAAGTGAAACGTAGGCTGCTAAATATCTACAACCCTCTTAAAAATTGTATGTAGCTTTTATACTGTGGATCAAGATCCTCACACTTAAATCAATCCCCAAAATGACTGTACAGAGAAGACTTGACATGGGGCTCAATACAGATATACCTATAGGAATTTAATATCTCAGTTGTAAGCTCTGGGAATCCCTTCCACGGAAATTAAAATCATAACCTGAAGGGAACATTCTTCATATATTTGTATTAACTCAGGTTCATTTCTAAGCCACATATTCATCTCATTACAGGTCAGTCTATTTTTTACAGACAGAAATGGAATTTTCCTCCTGTTTTTGCAAATCTGATCTCAGGTAAAATGTCACAGTTTCTGGCAGGGTGAATCCAGATTTATGCCATGTAAAACTCAGCATACCACATTGAAACTAATCATACTTTTTCATGAGTCAACCTCCAGGCAACATTCTGTCATTCATTTTTATAAAAGAATGTCTTCATTTTTCTGTGTCAAAGTTAAAAAAAGAAAAAATAGCAGCAAAAACAGAGTTATAAAAATACCCCAACATTTTTCATTCAAATATTCATCTGTCAAAAGTAACCATGCTTTAAAACACATCCAATTTGAGGTTTCATGCTATAAGCTAAGTGATAACGTATTTGCAGTTTGCAAGGAACTATGTTGCCATTTCCTCAATCATATCACAAATAATCACCGATGATTTAGCAACAGAAGACTGCATACTTCTGGCTGCAGATAGTGCTTGGTTTGGTCCCTAACAATAAATACTATTATGCTACCAACAACCCTCAGAAGATATTTACAGTGCAGTTCCCATCAACAGTAGCACGATGGCATGTTCACTTACGTCATGATGAGAGTTTCCTCTCCAGGTTCCCCTAAAACTCCATCTACAAACAGTGGGAGGGATGTGAAACTGTACTTGCTCCAAGATCTCCCTTCATCAAAACTTAGCCTAGTGGAGAAAGCAGAATTAGTGTCTTCTTTCCTTACTCTCAGCTCCTGCTTTACTTGAGGAGACTCTCTAATCCCCTGTAGGTGCTGTGGAGAAGTGAGAAGCAGTTTCTGTTCTTGTTTACTGGCTTTTTTTTTTTTTTTCTCCTTTAAACAACTATTTTTTGGGGAAAGACCACAACTCAGAGCATTAATCGACCTTGTTTAGCATCATACCTCTAACCTGTGGCAAATACCAAAGTGGTAGAAATCTGATGAAGTTATGTTACAGATTGATGCTTTAAGGACAAAATGAAACCTAGGGCTAGGATTTTTTAAAAACAAACAAGCAATTTTGAGCATCTTATTTTTGAGTCCCCAACACAAGACATTTTAAGGAGGTTAGACTTCTAGAGCACAAGAGCTCTGCCTCTTCTGATCAACAGTCTTCCCTCTGGTGGGTCTAAGTGAAAGCTTGGAACTACTCATCACTTATTAAGACTTGGGTCTATGTGTTTCAGATAGTCATAAGACACTGAGCGTAGAGCAAGTAAATAATGCAAAACAGCACAAAACTATATTCTACCTACCACACAAACTCAGAAATGCTAACTAGCAGGGACAATTTTGTCTTATTTGCTGTATAACCATCAATATATTCAACAAAATTCTGGTTTGTGAGTGCTGCCTGCCACTTAGAAGACAAGTTCATTGATAATTTTGAAAATAACTTGGGCAACATAATAAGAGACAAAACCATAACTCAGATATGTATTACATAGATAACCAAATTCAAAAAGCAAGTTATGGTAAACCAGAAAAGTTGTGGATATCTCAGAACTAGCCAAAGTGAAACTATGTAAACTGGAATTGCCAGGATTTCTTAGCTTTATCTGAGTTAGTGTTTGCCAGTATCATAAATGACATTTTCTGGATTGTAGCTAGAGAAAACTCTGGATGCAGATTAACTGCCTACTTCCTGGCATCTGAAAAGAGGGACAGCAGACATTGAGCACAGATGGAGTCATTACCAGAGATGTCTGATAGGCAGAGAGGTGTGCTTCATGGCAACCAGGACTCCACCTTGATCCAGGTACAGAACACTGTGCTCTTCCTCAAAGATCTGGGGATAAAAAATATAGCCAAACCAAAACCAAAGCGTTTATTTAAATCTACTTCCCTTATTATCAAGAAAATGTTATAGTTCTTTAAGTACAATCATGACAGAGGACAGATATGTGCTAAGGAATTTATGGAGTAAAGGAAGACATTCAGTATAGAGACAGTTCCTTGGTTTTGTTTTTTTTTACTACTGTTTAGGTGGTTTTTTATTTTAGTTTTTCCAGGTCCTTGGAAAATACATTCTATCTCTGCTTGACATAAAGTCAGAACCATGAATTTTTGCAAGGATCAACAATTTCTCTCTTTTCAATAGTGGATTTTTTATTTAAAGATCTTTGTGTGTTTGCATGTATCAGTCTATCTCACGTAAGTGACATAGATGGAAAAATGAGAGTGGGTCAAACATTGTAAAATAATTAGATTCTTGAAATATCAAATAAAGGACAATAAAATCTTTTTTTTTTTACATGCCTTTTTTTTTATTCTCTTTCAACAAACATGTACTCTCCAGTTTATATAGCAGCATTTTTCAGTCTGAGAAAGTCACTCTTACTCCCCATGACTCGATAGCCCATCCAAAAAAACAGTAATAACAGAACCTCCTGTTCTGAGGATAAATACATTAAAGGGTAGCAATGCTTATTAATTGGTAGGATTCCACTGAATATTAGGAACTTGATCTACCTTAATCCTTCAGCCTCTTTCCACAGTTAATGGAGGGATAGGTAGCTTTGGAGCAAGATGAACTGAATTCTGCCTTTTTCTCTATTACCTTAAGAGCAAGGCAAAATAATCCATTTATGTGGACACTGAACTTTGGCCAACTCAGCTTAGGTGAAATGAGTTCCACACAAAATGAGGAAAAGTAGACCTGTGCAACTGCTGATTCTAAGGAAAGTATAATCATGGATGAAGAGGAAAATGTTTTGGTTAATACAAGGGATGTACAATAGTAAAAAAGTAACACATTTTATCCCCTTGGCATTCATATTTTACTTTATTGTCTTTGCTACAGTGTTAGACTGAAGTCAAACTCTGAGTAGAAATATAAAAACAATTTTCTGTTATAAGAAGTCTAACAACACAGTCTTTTTCTTCGAGCATCTCTCTCTCAGAAGGGAAGTTTATCCTTCTGCAAAGATTTGCAAAAGGATACTCAAACCAAAAGAGACAAAAATTAAGTGACAGTCTGAATCTACTTGTACAGCAAACTCCTACAATTATTATTTAAACCTGTGATTCTGTGTAATTTACCTGTCTCCAAGTGTTCCCAGCATCAGAAGAAACAAACATGCTGATGTCATTGTCTGATAGTTCAGTGCCTATATTGCCTGTAAGACGAGCACTGATTAGTGACGTAACACTCTAAGAAACAGTAGAATTAGCAATTCAGGAGAATAAATGTGTTTATTCACCTTTTGCAATAATAGAACTTCTAGTTCCAGGAAGAGCAAGAGGCAGAAGGGGAGGTAAAGACTATCAGTTGGAAGAAAATATGTATAAAAGATCAGATCCATACTCCTCTGTATGCAAAGGAAACGCCGTGATATGAATCTTCTGTTGATGGCAGTAGAGGACTAGAAGTGATCTCACTGGTCATGAAGGCCAGTTTCCATAAAAAGTACAAGACAAGTTGAAGATCCATAAGGACTTCCATTTGATAGCCTGCCTTCCTCCCCAATACTGGTGGTGTGACACCCCACAAGCCACTCAACAACCTTCACATCCATCACAAACTCAAGATTTTGTCAGTGTTTGCATATCATACATAGGGAATCTTTAAATGTTTCATACCTGAAGCTACAATAATACTGGGTGCAGTGTCTCGACTGGCGATGTTTCCTGAAGTGTAAGGATTCTCTGAGACCTTCAGATGAAGATGAAGGGAGCAATAGGGCTATGAAGAAAGGGGAAATAAAAGTAAAAAGACAACACAACACAAAATGCATGCTCCTATTTCTATAGGCTTAGAAATACACAGTGTCTTTCTGTATTACCTCCGAATTGCTGCATTCAGCCTCTCTTACAAAGACACAGCCATGGTCCTGGTTCTCTTGCAAGAGCTTTACTATCATTTTCTGACACAACCTATTCCCACTGGGAAGATCATTCACTAGGCTGCAGCCTTCTCACAAGGACAAGATCTTTGAGGCTATACCCACAAAGGAGGCAGCCAGGCTTGCAAGGGCAGGTAATGGCAAGAACTACCTAGCTTCCCTGACTCCAAGCTCTCTTGAGAAGCCAGCAAGGCTGCAGATATGATGAAGTGACTCTCAGAGCAGCAGTGTCAAAGCTACCTCTGCTTATCAGTACACCCCTATGGTGTGGTGCTAAGTCACCACTAATTACCCATGAGAAAACTTAGTGTCAAACCATTTCTTGACTCAGTATTTTTGATACACGACTCTGTTCTCCACTGCACTAACAAGAAATACCAGCACTTAAAAGTGGTAGTTTAAAAAGTGTTTAAAACAATGCTTCAACACCCCATGTGGATGTGACCTTTGAGATTTCAATACAAATACGTCCATGGAAACCTGGCTTATTTGTTACTGATTTTGTATGTCAGGTACTCAGATAAGACAGGAATGGTACAAAATAAATCAGCTGTGCAAGAAGGTAAGAGAGGCAGATTTCCAAAGTTGCCATTACAATTCCTTAGAAATCTGTAGTGTGATAATTTCTGAAAATTTCTGATATTTTTTTTGCCTTCTCTTGGGTCTTATTCCCAGTATTGTTTTCCTTCCACATCTCATGAAGGGCCTTTCATAAAGCATTTTATGGGAAGGGAGGTGCAAAAGTACTGGCAAGAACACCCGAAGCAAACTGACCCCATTGAGTGGGACATGAAAAAGGAACACCAATACAGCAAAGCCCATGCTTCAGCTTGCATGGCTCTGTAAGATGAGCACTGGAAGCTATTCAGGCTTTAGGGAGGCAGGTCTATTTGTCTAATACCAGCTGCCTAAAGGCTAGGTCTTCAGCCAAAACAATTTTTTAGGCTTCCTCTGAAGAAGACCTTGCCCTGTAGGTCACTGGAAGATGACTTATCCATTCCATCTTAAGGTAGGTGTCTATGACTGAAATGAAAATCTCCCTGTGGAGAATGGCAGTATTTTTTGGCAAACGCAAATGAGCATGGTGAGAAGGGACAGGAGCTCTCACTTATGTGAGACAGGAAAAGGGGACAAGGGTTGTGCAGAAGGGAACATAACCTGCCAAGTGGAATGTATTGAGCAGCCTAACTCTAACTGACAACCTTGTGAGGGCAGCCGCTGGAGCAGCCTGAGGGTGCAGGGAGGGAGTGGAAACCAAATTGAGCTGACATGCGTGCAGGAAATGGAAAAGCATTGCAGAAGCATTAATTCTTTCCTTTCACATTTTTATATGTTGTGAAAAGACTAAACACAGAACATATTTTTTAAACTAACATACTCCAAGCCCACTCCTGCATTTTGAAGATGTTAGTTAATGGAAGCCAATTCCCCACCCTGACAAAGATTAGACCCCATTAGACTCAAATCTTTGTGCTAACAGAGATTTCCTTTCAAATTTGTCTCATTTCACAGATATACTACACAGAAATGGAATTTATATCTCAAATATTAAAAGCCAGGTCTCTCCAAGCAGAGACACAGTATTTTTAGTGGCATGACTTCTTATTGTTGGAGTGCAGTAACTCTTACAGTCTCTAGTGACAATTTTGTATGGGGTAAACAGGCTACTGAAATCATTATTATAAGTGGAATCACCAATTTTGGGTTTCCCTGTCATTGCCTAGCACCCAGCTGTGCTAGCTGCTGCACAGACAACAAGGTAAAGAGCAATGGCCACAGAGCATTTACAGCCTAGGTAGAAGATAAAGCACGAGTGACATAGCCTATTGCTCTGCTCGCTGCCATAGTTCTTACAGTAATGTTTCTTTAGTACTTTCAAGCCAGTGCTTTGATGTTCTGTTCTAAGGAGGCTCACCAGTCCCTAGTAAAATTTCTTATAAATACTCACAAACCTACCTCTTGGCTGTTCTGCAAAGTGCACCTGAACCATCTCCAGCGTCATGGCACATACTAAACAGCTGTTAGTGACTGTCCCTATCAGGAGTGTGGAAAAATGCTATAACAAAGGAATGATGCTAAACATCATTCGCAAGCCTAGTGAGTAGTCACGGTATTTGCTCACCTGCAACAGCAAGGAGAAATGAAGAGAGATAAACACTTCCAGGAGATATATTCAAAACACCTCACTTAGATGCTTAAATTATTCTGTAGCAGATGGCATGAATGCCCCCTCTTATGAGAAAAGGATCTTTGTCCTGAAATCCTTATAATCCATCTAGACAAGGCAAACAAAATGTGGGAGGGAACAAACAGATGTCTGGGGAAGGGAAGCACATAGAAAACAAATTACTTGCCCAAGGAAACTGGAGATAGGCCTAAAAACTGAATCAAAATTCTCTGGAGATACAGCCCCATGTTTTAGCCACAAGACCATCCCTGAAAGGTAATTGATTAACTCTCCTAGACAGATGTCCATAACATTCAAGAAAGAATTGCTCCTCAATTAACCACTTCACAGCACAAGATAAGTATCAGACAAACCCAGCATCTTTGGCATATAACTTGGCAAATATTTTAAGAAGATGAAGTGTATTCAGCTTAGAAAACAAGTGGTATAAACAAGGAAAATAAAACCTTGGAATTAGATGGAATTTCATTGCTTTCTTCCATCCTCATTATTCAGAGCCATCTCACAAAAAATATAAATAAATTCTCTGTGTTGCTTCGAAAAAAACACCTCAAGCATACTGTCACTAGAGGGATGATTCCGTCTGGCTTGCCTTGTGTTTCAACCAGACTCCCTGTTAACCTCCTTAGCTACAGCTTAACTGCTGTGTACTTATTTCTGCATTAACTGTCCCTTAGTTTAGGTTTAAAGACCAGATTCATAGAGGACACAGCACTGCACTCGCAGGCTGGGGACCATCCTGTCACTCTGGGAAGGGGCAGGTCCCATTCTGCCAACAAGGTGGAACGTACATTATTGCTGTGTCCTGAGCTATTGCTAGAAGTAATGATGCTAAAACCCATCAGTGTGAAGAGCATGAGTATCTGCTGTGGAGTAAGTATGGGAGCTAAGCCAGATGTACAATGGACTATTAAGAATTCAGTCAGACATACCATAAGGAAAAGCAGGATCATGCCTGTAGAATGATGTACATAGAAGGAAAAGGAGCAACTGATGTAAGCAGGTAAAAGTTCTGTTGACGCAGGGTTAGACAGAGTGTGGCTAAAGAGGTGAGTGGAGTTTGTGAACTGGTTAAATACTACAGCTATATCACATTGACAAGGAACAGAATTGCCTCTGAGCAGGGGACAATTGTCTTTCTCCATGTTTTCTGTCAGCAGAACACCCTTACGGATCCCTTATTTTCAGGCACATCCATTTCTGCTGCTTTTGCTTTGGATTTTTCCCTACCATTTCCAACTTCTACAGTTGTAACAGAGTTGCAGTTGCAACTCTTTTCTGTAATTTCTTGGATTTTTGTCTTTTCAGATTCTGCCTTCATCTCTCCTCACCATTAAGTGTGAAGCTCAAACCAGATTGCAGGACTGTTATTGTACTTTTTGGTTTTGGTGCATTTTCTGCACTGCTATCCCCTCTTTCTCTTGCAGGGACACTGCCTCTTCCTGTGAAAGTCCTAACAAGTCAGTTTAGTTCAGATTTCATCCACTTACTTTCTTGAAAATTTGCAAGTTGGTCACCTGACATTCTGTATGCTCAGTTATGATCCCTGCTCTGCTACCATTCCACTAACCTGTTTTATCCAATATTAAGGGAAGAGGAAAAATAAATGTAGCTAAACATTCCTCTGGCCTTATCACAAGGAAGGGCTAAGTTCCTTTCCATTCTCCTTCTGGAAGTGCAAAGATTGAGCTACATGGTTTAAGTCCATTGAGGATTTGTCCCTTAGCACCCTGAAATCATAGACCAATTTCTACAGATGCCTGCAGATCTGAGGTGCCTACTCCAGCACAAGTCCCCCAGCATTTAAGAAGTGGTTGCTCTCCAGTGCGAACGGCATGTCAAACCTATATTGAGAGTTATAAGCAAATATCAGAGCAAGTACATTGTTGCATAGAGAGAAAAATAAAAATGAATTAGTGTTTAAATAGCAGATTGTGCATAGTGGATAAGGATATAAATTCTATCCGCAGAGAACCAAAAGTTTCTCTGGGTCAGTTCTCACTGTGTCTCTGCAAGTGCCCACACTTCTGTCCCTGTCTGGTTTGTTCAAGTTCACCACCCTCAAGGGAATTCCATCTTGTTCAGGCATATCTGGTCTAATTTTAAATGAAATGAAATGTGTTCTCAGGTGCTCATGAGTATAGTAGCAGATACAGTATGGATGGGAAGGCTTAAGGGAGCCATAATCCCCCTCGCTCCAGAAGAACCATCCAGTCCTGGTTTATATACAGTCATATGACCACTTCCACTATATCATGGACAACTACAGTGGCAGCATACACTTTTATATAAAATACACAGTTCCTGCAAACAACTGTTCCATAAAGGCCCCACAGAGCTGTTCCTTGGTTCATTTATAACTGCAATGGCAAGTTAGATCCCTCCCGATCAGTGGACAACAATATCAAAAAAGACCTTTTCTCAGAACCCAAACCTCAAATTTAGGGAAAAATAATAAAGTATATTTTACTTGCCTCCAAGTTTTTTTATTTCTTCTGTCTTGCCAGCCCCCAGATATTACAATACTGTATCATACAATAAAAATATAGGTTTTCTGACAAAATTAGTCATAATTTGAAAAAGTCAAGATGTGGGGTTTTTTTACCATATACGTTCACTTGAGTTAAAACTAGATTACAATCTACTTGAAATGCAAAGTAGATTGTAATCTACTTTGATTACTTTTTGTAATCAAAATCGTTGAAGATTTTGCCTTCAAAAAATTAAATTGTTTTATGTCTGTAAAGTTTTATGAATGTCATCTTTTCAGTCTTCATCTCACAAAAAGATTTAATTTTAAAATGCCCTTGGTTACAATTTTTTAAAACTTGGAGAAAGAAAACAAACCCGAACAAATTTAGTCATGGTCTGAAATACCTCTCCTATTTGACTCCCAGTCCTCCTTATTTATTTTTTCCAAACCAGAAAGAAAATGAAAGGCTTGCCTTTTGCCTCAATCAAAAAATCAATTATTTGAAATGGCTTCAAATATTGAGTTATTTATCCTTTGCTCTTGCAATAATGCATGGGGCTCAGTTAAGAGATTACTGTAGCACTCAGCTACTTTCCACAACACAGAAAATATAAATGATTCAGATTCTAACAAATTTAGAGCCTCAAAAAGAGATACAACTTCTTTTTTTTTTTTTCTGATGGAAAACAATATGCAGGTACAGGACAGCAGCAGGAGGAACACTCTAAACAGTGCCCTTTATTCTGCCCAGAACCACATTAGAATTTGTGCACTATAAAAGCTTTTGAGAATCCCAAAGGCTGGAGTATTACTCCACTACTGTGCAGATTATATTGGTTGAAAAACATGTCAAGGTCAGTCTAAACTTTCTATTTTGATAGAGATCTCCAATTCTATTCGCACTGCTTATATTTGACTTTCACTCTTGGAAACTCTTTGCATATAATGATGATTAAAGACTCACCTGCCTTTGGATCTATATCAATAAATACAGAGACAGATACAATATAGACCAAACACATAGCTATACGTATATTTGGATGAATGTGTCGATTCTTACTTCTGAGCTCAAAGGAAAAATGATAAATATTAATACTGCCAACGGAGTGGCCTGAGAGAAATCAGAGCTCTTCTATCCTTCGAGCCCGTCTCAAGCTATTAGGTCCCCGTGAGTTCCTGAGCTACAGCAGCTCACTCCTCCCATCTAGTGTCCAGAGTGCCAACTGCGCAGAAACGGCGCCCAGCTTCACCTGCTGCTTAAGGCAAGACCAGCAGTTGTGCAGAAGGAAGCTGATCTACGATGCTACCTTTTGTTCCAGAAATTAAATTCAAATACTCTAAATTAGAGTGCCAGCTCTTGCAATATCACCTGCCAGCCCAAGCCTGATGTACTGCACTTTTAATATGCAGTGTTCTCTCCATGAGATACACCGCATGGAGAGAAGAGCTGCCCTCTCCTTCTTGTGTTACCTGGTAGAAAAAGATTGTTCTGGGATGTTACCACTCCCCAGGTTCCCCCACAGGTACTTACTAGGAGACAGTGAACGGGGTTTCCTCTCAGATCGGTGTCCGGAGCCTGCAACAAACTCCAGTCTCTCCCTTTATTGTAGGTGATGAAAGTTTTCACTTGGTTGTCAATCTTCTTGTTAGCCAAGAACATTCCCTTTATCCCTGCTACCTAGGAAAAATTGACATGGCTGAAAAATAGATCAGGCCGATGCAGGATCTGTGTATGTGTCTCTCCTGCCCTGCCAAACCCAACAGGGATCCGGTGGCTGTGTCAGCGTTGCAGATGTCTGGGCAAGAATTGCCAAGGAGCATCAAAGGCAGGCAAATTAGGGTGCTGGGGCCAAGATGAGACCATCACAGGTGGAAAATTGACAAACGGATGAGAAAGCTTATATTTTAGAATCAGCACGGCAAAATGGTTAGATATCAATAGCATTATCTGACACATGACAATCTCTCAGCTGTATAGGCATCCTTCCCCCTGAAAGATGAAACATGTACAGTTTATACATGCAATTATTTGTCTCTTACACTACAGTAACAGGAAACATCAGCAATTTGGGTCTTGCAAATAAAATGACAGCACACACATAAGCTTGTCGTTCAGTGCTTCTGTTCTCATACAGCAGTGCTTTATTCATGGATCCAAATGTGTTTCATAATGATTAGTGTTTTAACAGGATAACTGGGGGCACTGAGGTATTTTTATTTCAGCATCATGTTTTGAGGAAACCATAGCACTGGTGACTCAAGAAAGGCCACCCAGAATACTAGTTACAGAGCTAGCAATGAGATTCTCATCCTTTTATGTTTTCTAGCGTTTTACCCAACAGCTTTACTCCATAGAGCTGCAGGAGGATTTCGTAAAGATGTGTTGCTAACAGACTCAAACTGGAACCATGCCAAACAGTGTCTTGGCGGGGAGAGAAAAAGTCAACCTCGAAGCACAACTCACATTGCAGAATGTTCCCATCTTCTCAGTACACTGAAAATCAATAGCCCACTAGCTGCTGCAGCTTGCGAATGAATTTCTGTCATTCTGCAATTTGAGTGCTGCAATAAAAAGGGAAGCAAAATTGGGAGAAGGAGGGGGAAAATAAGAAACTTTTCAGTTTCCAGCAAGTAACTTCAGTCACCCACTCCATCTCATCTTGTGATATAGAACTAGTACACAGAATCATTCATCAAGACTTTTGATTCACAGAGATTATTACCTAAATGGCATCACGTGGCAAACGATTACGCAGAAGATTCAGAGCTTGTTCCAGCTTAACTGATATAATTATGTGGCTGGATTTGGAAGCTACAGCTCCCAGTGAGTAGGACCTTCTTGCACTTTTAGTCACATGCTGTGGGACTACTAGCATACAGTACCTTGGTACAGTACATTGCTGTACTTAGTCACTCTGAATAGCACTTTCCTGCTTGACCAATGCCAATGAATTTCATTTGAAGTTACATAAAGACTTAGACAGGACTTGCTATAATAGTCAGTAGTCTTTAAGTAGTTAAGTACTTTATTTTTTATATAAGGATAATCTTTTCAATTTCTTAGCTGGATTGTTCAGTCCCACCCAAGTATTCCAGATTTCTTTATTGAAGTAGAAAGGCACCCTGAAAAGACAAAGGTATTCTGTCTCCTAGTGATACTGCATGAATAGACAGGGTTGGAAAAATAACATAGTTCTGCCTTTACTATCAGAGGCCAGAGGCTATATCTCTATTTGTACTTTTGTTGTTGTCCTGAACTAGCTGTATAATATTAGTCCCTGTGATACGCTGGCAATAAATTATTAAAGAGCATTTTATATATCAGGTGATAAATGTGTTCCAAAATCCTGTGAATTTTTCTTTTTATGATTCGAGTCATGGGCTGGGTCTCAAAATTCTTTCCCAAGAAAGCAAACTGTAAATTATACTGTCAGTCTTATCTTAAAAAAAGACTGCACACACTCTACAGGTTTGTGTGCTCTTAGAAGGAAGAGATTCACTTGTTGCATATATACATGACACAATGATCTCTTCATCCCTGTTGTTCATACAATCCTAAGAGAGCAATACTCATGCAAGCAAGTGCATGACCACAAGTGATCAGAGAGAAAAGGACTCCATCAGGTCCCACACAGGCATTGTAGACAATCCTCACTGCCCCAAATGCATTGTGTGTAGGTATGAATGCTGTCTACAGTTGTAGAAAGATTTATGCAAGACAATCACACAACTCAAAACACATTCTTCATTCATATGTCCAACATATACATCCCATCCAAGATGCATGCTGCTAAAAAAAAGTCCAAGAGTGATAGATGTATAGATATATACCATAGCTATAAGACATATCTCTGCACAGTCTGTCTTCACTTCAGTCATGGATTGTCTCACATGCAGGATTGTCTTGCTGTGGACAAGTCCAACTACAGAGCCAGGCAGAGTCATACCACGTCATTCTACAGGAACTAGTAAGGGCATTCAGACCCAAGGGCCAGTGAGTCTTGCTCTAGGAGATGGCGTCTCGGACAATCCTTTTGTGGCTGCAGTCCCACTGAATGTTAAGTCTGGTGTGCCACTGATGAAGTGGCACTGGAAGGTGGTGGAGAGAAGAGCTATCCTCATATCCTGCTCCATCCAACATGCAAGGATGAACAGTGCAGGACTGGTCTCCTCATCCTCTTCCAGAACCAGAAAAGCCCACACACTGAAATAATAACTTCTGAGTGAAAGACTTCTGATGACTTAATGGAGAAAGGAGAACATGACGAAGCACCATGAAAGAACTTCTGTTTTCTCTTCATGCCCAGTGTACTTCCCTGTTAGGCAGCGTTGAGCAGATTTATCCTTGAGATAGAATTAGTTTAGGAATCTACACACACAATTCTCTACAATGCAACCAGAAGAACTTAATTCTAACACCTGACAAATGTTCATACAGACATGTGCACATTAAACAGGTCTTTCTCTGGAATCTTCTCAAATAATCTTGCTTTTCTAAATATGCTGCTGTCACTACAGAAAGCCTCATTTTTCAATCTCTCTGCTTCCTTTTAATTTAACTGTGGATCTTGTTTTTCTCCTGTCTTCATCTCTAGTTACCCCTAGAGCATTCTGCATTTGCAAAAACCCTACCGGGAGAATCACACTGGATGGCTTTTTGTTCCCTTCCAGCAAGAACATCAAATTGAAAGGAAGGTTTCTGCCAGGTTCAGTGTCAACCAATATTCTTTCTATCTAGATAATCAGCAGATATGATGCTACAACTCTGATTCCATCAATTTCAATCCAGGTTACTGTGTGATGTCAACCTAGTAAAACAAAATAAAGGCTTTTCTTTCCCTGTGGGATGTAGGACACCTTTACATAAAGCAGTGAAACTGCTTCTCGAGCTGACAGTAATAAGAGGCAACAGTTTTTCCATGGACTGACAGCAATGCAGAGAGTTTTTGATAGTAAAAAAACTCCAAATGACTGAAATGCCAGTGCCCATCCTTCTGCAGTTCATCTGCATGTATGCACAACACATGGGCTCTATGTTTCAACAATTCAAAGTGGTTTCCACGTAAAAGACAGCTGAAGGCAAAATATATAGCAGAGCTAATATTCAATGGTGATGGAGAAATACAGGAAGTAACTTAATTTTCAAAGGACCTCAGATCTAGTTTATGGTCTTTATTCTAAGTGATCAGAAAATCCCCTGGAAGAGACCTAAAAAGAGAAGCTGGCCCTAAAAACAGCACCTGAGGACTGAATTTGTACTCAGTCGAGTGCTGTCTCCAGAAGTGAAACAGGCAGCAGAGCAAGAGAAATACAAGGGCACATTAAAAGTCCCAGGATAGGTTCTGATTCTTGGGATCGGTTGTCATGGAAGATAATGTAAATTGGTCTTTTTACAGGTGAGCTTAGGCAGAATATCCTTGTCAGGAAAAGGCTGAGGGTTAAAAGGGACATCAAAATGAGGTAGGAGAGTTTCCATGCTAATGGAGTAGCCTAAGAGCGTGTATCTAAAATCACTTTAGTTCCAAAAACAGTCCAAGCTGAATAAGGTGACAAAGATAGCTGAAAACTGCTGTCTTTCCTTACTTTTAGAACAAGACATCAAGCCGTCAGAAATGCAACAAAAATTGGAGAATGATTTTATTCAGAGTGTTGGGAGCTTTCAGAGCTATAGGCTGAACCAATTTGGGTGAGCAGGAATTTGGGCTGTAAAACTTGAAGAGTTCCTCTTAGGGAGTGAATGAACTATTCTGCTACATCTTCAGATGCAAGTCTTCTTATGCATGAAAGATCCATGAGCTTCTCCTCACTTGAGAACTTACAGAAGAGTACAGCAGTGAATGCGTTCATATTAGGCTGTGCCTAAATTCAACACCTGTGTAAAACCTGGCCTTGAAACTCAGCTGATTGCACTGAGGCTCCTCAGCAAACCAAGGATAAAACTAGGGGGTTAGTCACTTTTTGGCTCTGCTGTTCTCATGTATATTACAAAACCGATGCACAATGGGGAAATGATGCTGGCATCACATGAGCTCCTGAGATAGGAAAGAGATGTTTGGAGTCATGACATACCTCATAGAGGTCAATCATCACATTCCCCTCCAGCCCTTGACTACTCTTGACATTTTCCAAGGCCAGGGTGAAGTACACCCCTCGGGTGTCGGAGATATACAGGTTGTACGTGTCGTTCTGGTTCCACTCTTGAACAGCTGCAAACACCTGATTCTCATCTGTGCTGATAACATGCATGTCCTGGGGAAAGAAAAAGAGAGGAAGGTTACTACAGGGAGCTCTGCTCTGGCATCTCGAAGGGCACCATGGTAATTCTGGAGGAGCAAGGGATATATTCATACTGGAATTTAATGGGAAACTGTAGACAACACTCTGGTAAGGAGATAATTCCAGACAGGAATATTTTATGCCAGCTCTCTTCTGCCAATTTTCAAAGTGGTAATTAACTGATGAGGTGTTAATTGAACATTTACATTGGCAGTATAGTGTTATACAGCAGCACTTTTCGCCCCCTACCAACACTTTTATTTTAACGAGCACTTTGTTTGGAGAGAGAGGGGGGTGTATTTACTTGTTTTGTTTGGGTATTATTTTTTTTGGCACCTGAGTGATTACAGTTGAGATATTAAAAATGTGTGGTTTTGTTCAAATAAGAAAAAAAAGCAGCATCTGAAATGTGCTTCCTGTCTAGCATTCAGAAACCGAGTATGCTTGGGAACTGACACAAGGAGGATCTAATGGGTTAACATCTGCAGCCGCTGTTTATTATTTCGAATGACAGTGTTAACTAGTAGCCAAGGCCCTGGACCACTCTGCTAAACCTCCCTCTAAATAATACAACAGAAAGACAATCCTAATCCTCACTAGATGTAAAGAGCAAAACTGTAGTTAGATCACTAGTGTTATGAGTAAGTTTTGGGTCTTTTTAATGTGTTTGTTCTGTGTGTTACAACAGGGAGGAAGTAATGAAAAGTTTGCATCATTGAAGAAAAACCAGAAACTATTAAACCTGGTTCCCTCTTTCAATGTTTGGAAAAAATTATTACCCAGCAGAAAAAGCCACCACGAGAGAGATTGTTATAATGAAATTCCCAGGCTCTATCTGCCCAGCACAGGCACGCTGTGTTCTTTGGTGCCATAAAAATCTGTGGAGGTAGGAAAAGAAATGCAGATTTCTTAGCACCAGGTGATTCCCAGAAGATTCAGCTGTTCCGTCTGTTTTGGGCAGATATCCCAAAGTTATTCTGCTACCATGAACACCAGCCAGGGCTTTCTATATGCAAAACTGGTAACTTTATCAGAAAATATACTCTTTGGAACTTGATTCTGCTTCTTCCTTCTGTTGTTAATATTTTTTGACAATTCACTTTCTTCTGGTTTTGTAGGAGGAATTAATACTTCCAGATGAAGCCTTATAATATGAAGATGAAAAATAATATAATGAAAAAAATATGATCTATAAATTTGAAAGTGGCTTGCTTCATCACAAAGTTAAGATTTAGAACAGTTTTTTGTTCATCCAGAAGTGAGTATGGAGTGGATGAATATTCACCTGATTTACTTGCTTTCCTTGGTCACTGGAGAAAAATGTATCCCAGAAGATGGGCTAGTTTTGTGGAGGAACAGACTGGCTTAAATCTTGAGGCAACAGGAAAGGCAATATAAGTCCCACTGCCTTCTACTAATTCTGGTTGTGAACAGATATCCTCTCTTAGCTCCAGCTGTGCTAGTAGAAGTTACTGCTGCAGCTGTTTGTCAGAGGCTCCTTTTTTCAGACTCTTACCCTAGCCAATCTGCTGGTGGGTCTACATGAGTAGGTGTTCCCACTCTGCTTCAGGCAACATTGGCTAGCACAGCTCAAGGAAAATTAAAGGCAATTTCATGAATGCTTAAGAAAGAAATCATTTATTCACTAGATGCTTCCTGAGTTTTGATCAGATTATGCTGTAAAATGCAAATCTAAAGAAGATCCTGGTAAAGGCTGAAGGAATTTAAGCCTGGAGAAGCAGAAGTTCAAGACAGAATTGGCTAATATACACAGTCCAGAATGTCAAGAAAGAGTGTTTCAGCTGTTTGCCTTTGGGGATAACTTAAGAGTGTTTCAGCTGTTTGCCTTTGGGGATCAATTAACTTTTCCCCTTAATATGGCCTTGTCCAACAGATGTAATAACAATGTAAAGCTCTGTCAGAAAGGGATCAGTATAAGGATACCCAAGCAGGTCTTTGACCAGCATCAGGATTTTATTTTTTCCACATTGGAAAAATTAAAATTAATCAGCAAATCATTAGCTTTTTTTTTTTTTTTTTTTTTTTAGAGTGGGGGTTGATTTTGGGGGGGAGAGGAATAATACAGAGAGACAACGTTCATCTTCACATGGAGAAAAAGTTTCATTGCATCTTCCCCTACTACAGCAGATGTTCATTTCACCTCCTTATAGAAAGGGAAGAGGACAGGAAAGCAAAGCAAGACACCTTCCTCAAACTGTCACTGTCATCTTCAGGGGCTCCCCAGGCATCTGCCTACTGAGAGCCTCAGCTTTCCTCTCTCTGTTGCAGCACACAGTGGAAGTACATTAATATGCAGTTCTACTATCTATTCCTCTTGCCTTCCAAAGACAAAACTAAGACCACGATGCTGTGCATGAGTTTGATCAGGCGTCTACTCAAATGACTAAAAGCCAAGGTTTTCTGAATTACTAAACATGCTTCAATTGCCCTTTTTTCACTTGGTCAGGGAACTTTTCTTCCTGCCAAGATAAATAGCAGGGATGTGTAATGCCTGTTTTATCTTGTCAATTACTGGGGCTGTCAGCTCTTTTTAAGGTCTGTATTTAAGGAATTTTTTTTGTGGTTATTGCTTCTTCCATCATGATGTGCATCCTGAGGTTTAAAGAAGGTGATGAATTTAAAACAGAGGTACCACACACCCCCATCCCATCAGTATTCAACCCAGCACCAGTTAAGGATAGGTCTTTTTAAAAGAGAAATTCCTTGGCTTGCATCAATGTCCACAGATGTTGGCCCAGTGCATTGGTCTAAAATGGAGTGACTGAACTCTGTGAGTACATTTAAGTTGATTATCATGAGTGATGTTACAGAGTCTGTGACAGAGCCCACATTGTGGTGGTGTGGTACCAACCCACAGAACAATGTCACTGCAGAAATTAACAGGTCTCAATAAAGACCATTTACAAGGTACAGCCTTCTTGCAGGCATCTTCTTGCATGGAAGAGAGTTTCAAGTTCGTTTAGGCCTTTAATCAAACTGGCTATCGGATTATCAGTGCCAAAGAGAGGAGTATTTTAATTCTGACTTGCTGTAGGCTGCCATTCCTGACTGTCACTATTATCTGCCAAGGCTGCTTGCTGTCACACCACTCCAGTTTAGCAAGAGCGACATGCAGAGACAAAAAGCTTGATATTTCCATCTTCAATTCCAGAAGTCGCTTAGTACTGTTTACCATATTTGGCCCCTCTTTCCTTTAGCTGAAGGAGATGAAAGAGAATTTAGGCATAAAAGAAGCTGTTTGCTTCAATTCCTTGAATAGTATAACACTTTGTGCAATTTTAATAAAAGCAGCTATGCTGCTTTGATAGCAGCCTCCTAGACAGCCACAGCTCCACTGTAGCTCCTTCCAAGCCAAATGTAGCAGTTCAGTCTTTGAAGATATTCTGAGATTGTGACAAAGCATCTTATCTCCTTAAATATCTGCCTTTTTCTTTGGGTCAAATAACACGAATGTGTTGCTCCAGTTCCTATTCTCTCAGAACACATTGTCATTTAATTGTAGTGCATTTTCTCTGGCTCTCCAGATATCCCTTCGAGAAGATGGACATTTGGAAGAGTAAGTGTGGGCTAAAGGAGACAATCAGTTCCAACAGGCAGTCTCTCTAGAGATGGCCTGAATCAGCTGTAAATTACAATTTTGATTTGGAAGTTACCATAACCATGTTGAAAATGCAACTCCTTTGCTAAGGGCTACTTCAAATAATACCTTTAAAAATTTGATATGAATTAACAGAGTAATTCCTTCCTGCTTTGACAGGAAGTTTCAAACCAACTTTAAACATGACTGAAGTTTTTGGGGTAGACCACAGGTCTCCTGTATCACAGCCAAGAAAATATCATGGCTTCTGGTAGGGTCTTCAATATCCTGTAAGGTGGGTTTTCAGGTGATGTAAGGTGCAAGGGGTACAACAGCAAAGCAGGTAAGGTATGGCATTGAAGGCCTGGGTTTGAGCTGCTGTCTGGTTATATGAAGGTCACCCAGTCAATCCATTATAAACAGGTCAGTTGGGCAGAGGAATCTAAGCCATTTGTGATATCAGCCAAATTATCTCTTTGAATATATCCACCCACAAAACCTGTCACATTTTCAACTTCTAGGAACAGGCTGACCTTACATTTTTGTTTTTCCTTTTGACAATCCTTGCTTAAATTTTGGGAATACATTTTTGGCCAGATGTTAGACTTCACAAAGGAGCCACAAGATAATTTGGTACCTTTGAACATAAATTTCATTTAAGCCAGATTATATGAAGAATGAGAAGGCCTCAAAAAAGAATTCCTCTGTCTTTGTTAAAGATGCCACTAGGAGCCCAGATGCAATATGGTGATTTCCTCAAAATAGAGCTAACATTTTATTCACGTTTTTTAAAAAAATCAGCTCCAGAAGGCAGCAATAGCCTTTCAAGCTCCAATGTTAATTCACCATTGTTCTTAATTAGGGAAGATATGGAGCAGACACACAAAGACATCTCTTTGCTTGGCTCCCATTAAAATCTGCTAATGAGGCACATCACAAAAAAGCAACCCACACAGGATAGGGACAGGAGAAGGGCATTTTAAGACCAAAAGAGAAAAGAAAAAAAAAGAATCTCCTCCAAAACTTAATTAACTAACCATAAAGAAATGGTAATTGACAAAGGCTGTGGTATCTCTCTACATTTTATGCTGATGTCCTTGACTAGCCAAAGTACTGACTTTGCCATCAGTCCTTTCTTGCTTGGAAATGTTCTGTTAAAGAAGAATGATGTTTTAATCTTGTAGTTACTTGTGTTGGATTCAAGAACTTTCCTGCAATCAAAACATCTATAGGTTCATATGGACATTCCAGCAACAGCAACCTACCTTGGGCAAGGAATACTTGGGCAGCTTCATCTGTGCAAATGCATTCCTTCTATAAGAAACATAATAATGAGGTCTTCCTCCTGATGTCAGCTATGAGAGAAGCACAAAAGTTATCGACAGGATTTTAAAAAAATATTCTTTTATTATCAAGAAAACTATCAAGGAAAAGCTGTCAAGGGAAATACTACAATGTTGGTGACAACAGCTTTAAACTGCAGCACTATTACAGTTGATGAATAACTGAAACATTGATCCAACTGATAGTGGTTGAAAAAGAAAGCAAGGGGAATCCCATTTTCTGCAGAGAGACAATGTCCACAACTTTGGGTGAAAGTCTGGGGAACGTGAAATCCTGGTTTCACTTGACCCATTGCATCACCTGCTGATACTACAGCTCTCCATTGTCTTGTCACAAACAAGTCTGTTCTTTGTTATCTGCAGAGCTGCCATGGAGACTATTGGTTAGATGAGTGGATTGGCAGATATGATGCTTGACTTCTGCCTCCAGCTTTGGTTCCTGTGTGGCCCTATACAAGCCATCATATGTATCTGTTATGAGGTCAGCTAAGCATTCACAGCTCTGGAAGGCAGGAGGGCTCAGCCAATTTGATATTTCTGTGCATCTGGCCATTCATTTATGTGCCTAAATACTGATGGCAAGACCTTGAAAATGCTGGGTTAGAACAATGTGAGGTTTCACATATTTATTAGAATAATACCACCTATTAGAGACGGAAAGAAAACAGAAAGGAAAAAAGCTGTCAGTGTTATCTGGGAACCAGTGCTACTGAAGTATAAATAATGTTTGTAAAGTGTTTTTAAATCCTTGGATGAAAGACAGAAAAACAGATAATCCAAGGGATTGTCCATGCAGAAATTTCCTATAATTGACTGATATCTGGGCTTATCAACACTTTTCTTTAGTAGTGTTTTAAAATGCACTGCAGTAGTTTAAAATACAATATACACAGAGGCTAGGTTCATACCAGATTAAGTAAAATAAGAACTATTTCTTATTCTAAATCACTTCAACAATTCTTTTTTAAAGGGATTTAGGCAAAAGTTAGGGGAATGGAGGTCAGAAGCACTGCTTATGAGAGAGCGTGAGTTCGTAAATAAAACATGGTGTAGTGGGAGAAATAAAACCACATTCCCTTATCCTTATGCTTTTGAGCCTACTAATTCTCCTTCCAAATGCCTGAGTTGCAGAAAAGCTGGATGGAGAATAAAGCAGGCAGGGAGGTTTTTCAGGTGTTCATCTATTCTTCCAAGCCTTTGCTGTCTAGTATAAGGCTATTCATCTGAAGAACACTGCCTGGGTAAAGCAGGGTCCAGTATGAGCCACAGCATGTTATTTGGCTTTTCTTTGCCAGCCAGATGCACCCAGATACATACATAACCACTTCAAGAATCCCATTTTAAATTACCAGCCAACAGTGAATTCACAGACTACTTCAAACAAAGCAGAGGTTGTTTCCAGAGATTACAATATTATTATTTCATACCTGTAAGTGTCAATTATTAATGAGTGGCAAGTACTATCTCTTTGACCTGTTATGTTTACTTCTGTTTAAGAATCCTGAGATGTTTAAAGATTAAAACAGAAGCTTTCCAGATCCAAACATTACATGATACCTTCTCAAGCCTCATGACAAACGGTGACTATATAGTTGTGCAATGTCCCATTGGCACTAAGGGGAACACCACAAGAGTCTGCCTTTCCTCACATGCCCCTCCTTACACTGTGCAGCTAGCACAGAGGTGGAACAAAGCTGAAATTTGGCAGCACTGGGAACAGTATAAAACAGCTTATAAACAGAAAGAGAAATGCATCAAAATACAAGGGCTGTCCAGAAAGGTAGACAGTCTCCCCAGCACTGACTTCAAATGAGGCAAGGGAGTTGGCTTCTCTACAATGTGTAATAACATCAGGTCAGAGCAGAGAAGACTAACAATCCTGAAAAGCACAACACCAAGGCATCTGTGATAAAGTAAAGAATCAATTCACATATGAAGAAAAATTCCCCAGCTCCTGTGTCACTCAAGCCACAAACACACAGTCATCCTGAAATGAGAGCGCATGGCTGAACAGTGAAGCATGCCCCTGTTTTCCTTATCACATAAACATTTCATTTATGCCTCAGACACACTAGGCACAGGAGCTATTCTGATATGTATGTCCTAGATTTATCTGCGGATGATTTAGACTGATGTTTATTACTGAATTCATTAACTGAAAGTAATTAGGAATCAACTCACCCAGTTTAAAATATCAGTCCTCTCTCTTCCCTCCATGCCCAAGCATGGCAGAACACAAACTGCCTGGAAGACCAGTTTGGTCCTAATGATTTCCAATTCACCTCCACGTTCCCTGCAATTCTATTGTCATTTTTGTCTTCTTCAGCTGTTAGTAAATGGACACTGGCAGCAGCCTAATGAAAGCCACAGCACTTCAGATCTACTCACCAGCTCTCACCTGGGACACAGCTTGGCTGAGTACATCTTATCTTCAGCCTTTTTATCTATAATCACCACCGAGGCATAACAATAAAGCCTGATTATTCCTTCTGTGGTTCTTCTCCTTCCTCCCTCCCTCTTTTTCTATTTCCCTGTTATGCTCAAAAAAGCTTTGGTCTACTTCCTCGTAATAGCAGATGACTGACACATCACATCAAGCTGGGGAGTTACAGCAGTGTATCCTGGAGTGCTGAGGAGACTGCAGGGAGTGGCACAGAACACTCCATTACACATGGTGGATGCTCCAGGCAGGAATTCTGTAACCCTGAAGTGGCAAGTTACTAGAAGTAAAAGGAACACTACTAGCATTGTAATGAACTGCTACAATCCACTCACTGCCTTTATTATTTGGATCCAGTGTTGTCTGATTATTTAGAAGTTAACACACATGCACACACAAGAAAAGGAATGGAAAAGAAAATAATATAAAATCTTAAAATAAATAAGAGAAGAGGATGTTCTGCACCTGAACAAAGACATAATCATCCTGGACGATCAGGGAGTTATGGTCAATATAGCCTGGAAAGGGCTTGCTGCGAGTGGCTTCACTGCAGTTCTGCATCTTGCAGGTGATGTATTGGGAATCTGAAAGGCAGAGAACAAAACCAAAACACTTGAGATCCTGAGTACAGGTTCTTCCTACTATCACAAACCTATTTGCTGAGGCAGTGTTTCTGTCTCCTAGCCTCACATGAGCTGACGTGACACCATCCATTCAATGTAACACAACACTTCTTTCCCTTACATCCCTTGTAAATCCACCCCTGACTACTTTCTTCCTTTAAGTTCCTTCCTTCTTCACCTGTCTCAGCCTCCCATTATTTCTTTCATCCCACCCTACACCAGAGCTATACATTGGTCAATTATACCAAGAAAGCGACCACCATAGCTGATCTGATTACTCCATGCTACTGTTGTAGACCAGAGGTAGCATTTGAAGGTGGCACAACGCAATGCTTGTAGCTCAGGTCTGGCAGAAACCTAACCAAGGGAATATCATTCAGCACTGTCACCTGCCCTGCTGAGTTTACTTGAATGCTACCCAGGCTTAAGCTTAAGCAAGGAACTGAGGGAACAACAGAGCTGTGAAGGACCTTTTAGAGAGGCAACTAACAGCCCAAGTCGTGTGACTCTCAAAGTAACTATGAGTCTGAAGAGTTGTGTCTCTGCTGTCTGTACTCTTTGTGCTGAGCCTCTACATTTTCCCTGTCATTGCCATGGTTTGGGATTTGTATGACAGCTTCTTCATGGCCACATGCTCAGTTAATTTAGAACATGACCAAGGTCTACAGCATACACAATATGAGGACACTTTTGGAGGACACACGCCCCATAGTGTCACCAGTGAGTATCCCTTCCATGGCGCACCTCTGTACTTCCTACAGCACTTACACCCCCCAGGGTAATTCAGGTCACCTTGGAAAGTAATTCAGACCACATCCTGTTCAGAGGTTTTACCTATTTCTCTGTTGACACTGTAGGTAATGGTCTCTGGCAGACCTGGGTAATACTTCCACACTTTCTTGAAACTAGAGCCTTAGCAGTTTCAATTAATCGTATGTTTTAAAGTAAATGGCCTAAATGCAGCCCTAAAGTCATTCACTGTTACTGTATAGGATGTCCTCATCTCCTGTGCTGAAGCACTATAGGGTGCTCATTTCATAATCCATCATCTGAAGTAAAATAATCTGAATTTCTTAAGGTTGATAATTTATCCTGGAACACAGAAACAGATTCTCAGTATTCAGTTTGGACTCTTTCAGATCAATTAAGAAGTTGAACTTTGTTTAATGACAAAGCTGATTTGCAGGAAGAAGGATTTTGGCATTTTAGCGTTAACACTTATACAACAGAAACACTACATGGTATTTAATGTAGAAATACTTCTAATCTTTTTCCTTGTTAGAGAAGTGTAGCCCCTCGTTTGATATAATTACCACCTTCTGATCAGAGGAGTAGCATTTTACACTGAAATAGTAATAACTGGTTTTTTACCATCTCTCATTTAATCTTGGTTTTAGTTAAACTCAATAATTTCACATTTCTTTTCTTGCTTCCAAGGGCTGTTGACTTCTGCCTGAAACAGACGTGCAGGGTAACAAACCTCCAGGAAAGTTTGATGAGGGATGATTTTATCCTGGCATTTGGAGAGTTCTTGGAATACATAAAGTGGTAAGATTATTAGTCACTGCAGTATATACCATTTTATGCTTTCACAGCTCACTGCAAGACATGAATTAATACAGCTCGGACAGTATGATCAAAATGCATTTCCCTTTACAGGAACATGATTTTTTCCATATTAGCCACGAGAGGGCAGGGAACAACGTAACTCCCAGCCTGCTCATTCCAGTGAGCTCAGGAAAGTTCCCTTTCAGAGCTGTTCAGCCCTCTGTCCCTCTGCTCCCAGGAAGGAGCAGGACCAGAGGGCCAGAGCTTCTGCCACCACCCAACAGTACTCTGTTGGCAGCATGTCTCCTCCTTGTCATAAGACAAGAACACATCTCTTCACCTGCAACACAGCTAATTCTCACTCTTCCTATTTAATTCAAACCATTGTGTCATGAAGGACAGCCCCCACATCTGCCTCCACATTCACAGTATCATAGAATTGTTTGGATTGGAAGGGACCTTTAAAGGCCATCTAGTCCAACCCCCTTTGCAATGAGCAGGGATACCTTTAACTAGATAACATTGCTCAAAGCTCCAACCAACCTGACCTTTAATGTTTCCAAAGATGGGACATTCACCATCTCTCTGGGCAACCTGTGCCAGTGTTTCACCATCCTCCTCATAAAAAAAATTTTGTCTTTATCTAGTCTGAATCAACCCTCTTTTAGTTTAAAACAGTCGCCCCTTGTCCTATCGCAACAGGCCCTACTGAAAAGATTGTCCCTATCTTCTTTATAGGCCCCCTTTAAGTACTGTAAAGGCTGCTATAAGGTCTCCCTGGAGCCTTCTCTTCTCCAGGCTGAACAAATCCAACTCTCTCAATCTTTCCTCATAAAAGAGGTGTTCCAGCCCTCTGGTCATTTCTGTGGCCCAACTCTGGACTCAATTCTACAAGTTCATGTCTTTCCTGTGCTGAGAGCTCTACAGCTGGACACCATACTCCAGATGGGGTCTCACTGTGTCTCAAGAAGACTCCTGAGTGAAATGCCAGGCAATCTTGAGCTTAAACAGAGCAGCAGCAGTTGAAATGGCTGGCCCCACCACCCACTGAGCTGTTGACAAGACTGGGTGGCTTCCCATACATGAGATTGAATCACCCAGCATAATGTTATATAGGATCAGATGTCTGTTTCTCACCTTGACTTCTTCCCCTGCCCCTCCATGCCCCCCCAATTTCCTTTTACTTCTACAGACACACTAGCCATCTGGGAGACACTACAAGGAGACTGCAGTGCTGTTGTATTTCCTGTGCAAACAGGGAAATCCTGAGACTACAGGAGGTAACAGGATGGGTGCTGCTGGGACTAGCCAGCAAAGAAAATTAAGGAACCTCTACAAGAAATGTTAAAGAGCAGGCCAGGTTGACGTCATTACAGGTGACCAAAGTTTTTTCAATTCTGTTTTAATGGCAGAACGGGGACTACATCTATTTCTGCTGTGATCGCAGGAGTCTGTGCAGCAGTGATTGTGCCATTGATGAAGATTTACTAAGGCAATTCCTGTGAACTTTTACTGTGCAATTCTCCACAGCTTCAATTCTAAAATGCCAGTAATAACTACTAAAGGGCAGAGCACTGAAATTGCTTAAGCTAATCTCCCAAACAGCCAAACCCTGACATGTGCACACCAAGAAAAGCTCCCTCTGCTATGAGAAACAGAAAGAAGGAAAAGTAGGCTTCTTGCAGTGCCTGCATCTCTCTTTTTTTCCTAAGGGAAGTTTTGCTGTGCTCACATTAACTCAAGGATTTTGTTTCAGCATTTGATTCTCATGGACATTTTATGCGATTCCATTGGCAGAGCTAGGTAATTTAGCATTAATTAATGTCAATTAATGTATTCAGTTGCTAAGCTCTGGAATTAATTTCATTAGTTTTCCTGCACAGATGTTTTCCCTGCCATAGGTAATTAGGACGTTATGCTTTTCATTTCCAGAACCCTCACCTCCAACAACAGCTGCTGGTTTTAATACACAACAACAAAGTCATGCTGTGCCTGGAGAGAAGAATATAGCAACTTGAGCTCTTACACCCCCAGACACTTTGATTTTGACAGGTTTAGACACCTACAGTAAGATTCTTCTCAGGGAATGGCAGCTATTTCTAAAGGGGAAGCAAGAAAAGTCACTGAATACAAGAATGGAGGAGACATCTTGTAAGGGAAAACTCTGACAAAATTAATCTGTTTCAGTGGTAAAAGAGAATTGCAAATGCTAGCACATATAAAAAGTTAAAAACCAGGAGGACCCTGTGTCATTAAATATTTTAGTCTTTTCTGTATCGCTTGAGCTCCATGCTAATATGGCCTCATGGGAAACGCAGCCAACCTGTCTCAAAGACATTTCCTGACTCGGTGGAGATGAAAGGTCATTGGTGGTTACTGGAGGTTGGTGAGCCTCTGCAAAAGTACACAGGAGAATTTCAAATCCCTTTCCCAAGCAGAGTAGGACTTTCTTCAGAATACTTTCTTGCCAAGTGTTATTTTGGATGATATATCAAACCCTGATACCCACTATTTCTACTCTAAGCTTGCATGAATATCTTCAAAAATCTTATTTGCTTACAAGGAGAGTTAGAGAAAATATTCAGATGCATCATTTTTGTTTTTCTTGTCATTAATTCATTGAGGAATGTGTCCTTCTCTCTACACATAAATCCACTAAGGACAAATCAGGAATTTATGCAAAGAACATCCACATAATCTATTACTTGTTTGTCTTCCAGATTTACTATAGAGTATCCCAGTTCATTAACGAGCAGCTTGGACATTAGGGATAGTTTCTGCTTTTGAAGGATGATGGGAATACTCTAACTAATGAACCGTAAGAATATCATAGCAACATATTTCACTGAAAGACCCAGACCTGTAACCCTTCTCCAACAGTGACTAATAACAGAAGCCTAGAAAAGTTTATAAGAATTTGTCCAGGTGCCTTTGTAGTCAAGGCACACCTTCAGCATCCAAAAACTCCCATGGCAATGAGTTCCACAATTTAATTAAGTGTTCTCTCATACTTCAATCTTCCTACTCTTTTGAGACACACAGAGAATAATTGTTCTTTGTCCATTTCCATCTGGTCTGAATGTTGACTTGTAAAACATTTATGATACAGGAATATATTCACAGCTTTTCAGGACTCAGCCACTGCAAGGCAATTAGCCAGTAATGAAGATCAGTGAAATGAAACCATCCCATTTATTAACTACTCTCAAACCTGTTTTTATCCTGCTTCTGTTCTTTCTTCATTGCATGTCAGAGTCAGGAAACTTTCTTTCCATGGGGAAGCATATCCTCTGTCATTTCTGGCATAAGGATATAACTAGAGAAACTAACAGACATCGTTCTCTAGGACAAATACTAATCATGATCAAGAAAAAATACTAATCACAATCAGGAAAAAAAAAATAAACCACCGC